TTTTTGTTTATGTGGTGCTGAGGAATCGAACCCAGGGCCTCAGGCATGCAAGGCAAGCGCTCTACCACTAAGCCACCTTCCCAGCCCCTAACTTTTTTTTTTTTCTGGTTAATTGGAGATGAAGAGTCTCATAACTTTTCTGGGCTGGGGAATCCTTAGATCTCAGCCTCCTGAGTAGCTAGGGATTATACCTAGCTCAAAATAATCATTTGCATGTCACAACTTGGCCCTACTAGTCTTTTATCACTAATACATTCTGAAAGTACATCTTAGGAAATTAACAAACGAACTTATACAACAGAGTATTAACAAACCCAGAACAAGGACATGTGAGAGCCTCAGTAGGAACAGCAGTTCTCCTCTAAGTGCTATTTGCACTGTCTGCCTCAGTACAGTAAAAACTTACTTGTGAATTTGTCAGTCCACACTAAGGCACTCTACTTTGTATACATACCTGTTGGGAAGATGATGGCTGCCGAAAGTTGTACTTCCACCAGGCCCCACAAATAATCTCAGTCCTTCTTCTGCAATATATACATTTAAAGTGCTCATTAGATGGACAATTATTAGATCATTGACAAATAACAGGCCTACTGCAGTAATTCATATTTTACATTTTGGTTTGTAAAAGTGATTAAAAACTGTAAAATTCCAAAAAGCCCTACATATTTTAAACGTCATTTTTCATCAGCTTTGCTAATGATCTTTTTCTTTTCACTGAGTCATGAAGACAGCCCTTTCTACAAGTTTTCACAAGGTTGAATTTATTTCTCTTTACAATTAGTTACTCATTGAAATGGAAGTTCATTGTTGTGTCCTCTATCCACCCTAGCATGAATAATTACACCTTTCAAGATGGTGGCATATAATTGTTCAGCTGTAGGAAAAACGCTGAGGAGGGTTGAAGGATTCTATTATTTCAACCCTCTCAACGGTAACAGTGACCAGAAACTCTGTTCTAAAGTATATGGATGTGGTAGGCACTGAAGCATAATTTAAAAGGATAATGAAAGCTTTCTTTCTTTTGTCTCTCCTGGGTGCTGGGATTAAACCCAGGCCTCACCCCTGCTGAACAACTGCTCTGTCATGAAAGCACACCCCTTTAAACTGATTTCTCTCCTTTTTTTGGGAGGGGATGGGTACTAGAGTTTGAACTCAGAGCCTAGATGTTGTCCTTTAGCTTTATCACTCAAAGCTACCACTTTCAGATAAGGACTTTTCTGTACACACTAGCTTTGAACTGTGATCCTTAGATCTTAGCTTTCTGATTAGCTAGGATTACAGGTGTGAGCGACTGGTCCCCCTGCAGGATCTCTTTTAACTAAAGTTTATTCCTGTTCCAAACTCAATATTCAGTCTCAGAAAAAAAAAGAGCTATAAAGTGTAGATTTTTTTCATTGACATGCAGCAGTAGCCAGCATGGTGTCGTGCCTTTTCCCAGCTGCCCCCAGGAGCCTCACAGAGCTAGACTGCAGCAACCTACACACCTTCTGCACTGGAGTCGAGGCTGAAGTCTTGGCTTTGCAGTATTTTCTCCACAATGTCATCTGCATCCACTCTGGTGTCATCCACTCGTTTCAGCTGAGATTCTACGGAGTCCTGTTTCATCGGACATCTTGGGAAACAATCACAGTTTTCCCTCCTTTTTATTAACTGTCATGAAAACAAAGGTTTTTTTTTTTTCTCCCTCTCCAATTTAAATTTATCCTTGAAGCTAAAAAGATACCTGTTGAGCTTTTCAGAGTTTGTATCTTCTTTATCAGCCGTATCAAGAGTTGATTCAGTTGGTTTTTGCTCAATTTCATCACATGGCTCGAGGATACTTTCAATTCCTGTTGAGGTACTTCCCACCGAAGTGTTTCTCCGGTGGCAGAACTCGGAGAAACTAGATGATCGGGAGTGACATGAGCTGTACCCTGTCAGAGAAAAACCATCTTGGATGTAATTCTAATAGCAGACATTATGTGGTCTAATGACTGCCCATGCCATAGCAGTTTCAAGACCCCTCAGAACAACAAGGAATTCAGTTGCACTGTGAGCCTCTACCTGATACTTTGGACTGCTGGCTTGCATAGCTCGATGTTCTGGAATGTCCACAGGCACCAAGTTCATCAGGAACAGACGCACTCTTTGCTGAAAGATCTGCAAAAAGCACAACATGATGTTGCTAATACTACTAACAACTAGTTTATAGTTCATTTGTCTTCTATAACTTCTGCCATGTTCATTATCATGAAGTTTACATGATGATAGGGTGGATAATGAGTCCTTTAAATTAGTACAACAAAAACAACAGTATAACAAGAAATAAAAGTTAAATATCTTAATTTCTTTGAAGAATTCCAATACTTTTGTAGCATTTAACAACACTGTTTTACAACCATTACAGTTTTGTGTTCATTTTATTTTTATTTTTTGTGCTGGTGGTCCTGGGGCTTGAACTCAGGGTGCTATCCCTGAGTTCTTTTATTCAATGCTAGTGCTCTACCACTTGCGCTGCAGCGTCACTTCTGGCTTTCTTGGAGATGAGTGTCACAGGCTTTCTTGCCAGGATGGCTCCTAAATGCAATCCTCAGATCTGAGCTCCCTGAGTAGCTAAGATTTAGGTTTATTATTATAAATACTATTATTTTTTTTGTTAGTCATGGGACTTGAACTTCAGAGCCTGGGCACTGTCCTTGAGCTCTTTTGCTCAAGGCTAGTGCTCTACTACTTTGAGTGATAGCTCTACTTCCAGTTCTCTGGTGGCTAATTAAAGATAAAAGTTTTAGACTTTCCTGCCCCAGCTGGCTTTGAGCTGTGGTCCTTAGGTCTAACCCTCCTGAGTAACTAGGATTACAGCTGTGAGACACTGAAGCCCCACCAATTTATTCTTCTTAGATTATTAATTGTACAAAAGGTTTCATGTGGTATTTCTTTCATGCATATACTTTGATCATTATCTACTCCATTTATTAATTTCATCTCTCTCCCCCTTTTTTTTTTTATATTTTTAAGTGAATCTCACTTATCTTTTTTTCTTTTTTGGTCGGTCATGGGCCTGGAACTCAGGGTCTGGACGCTGTTCCTCAGCTTTTTCACTCAAGGCTAGCACTCTATCACTTTGAGCCATGGTGCCATTTCTGGTTTTCTTGGGGTTAAGTGGAGACTTAACTTGACTTTTCCTGCCCAGGCTGGCTTTGAATCGCAATCTTGAGATATCAGTCTCTTGAGCAACTAGCTAGGATTAAAGGTGTGAACTACTGGCACTGGTAATGAGTTTCATTTATTTTTTTTAAATTTTATTTGTGAACATACTGTACAGAGGGGTTACAATTACATGGGCAGGATAATGCATACATTTCTTACCAAGCATTGCAGCCTCCTCC